TAGCAAATACTAAACAGTATTTTGGTATTTCTTCTTTTGTTGTTTTTTCACTGCTACTTTAAAAAAAATACTTTTGTCATCCACTGTCCAGAAATTTTAAATCATGGAATGCCTCAAACTGATGAGATGAATATAGATTGAGCAGGACAACAGTGTTTGGAATGTAGGTTGCATTTTCATTCTGCTTGTACTGTTTATTAGCTACATAACTTCGGGTTTGTTAATCTCTTTGAGCCTCAATTTTCTGTTTCTGTAAGATAGGGATCATACTTAAATCTTTTTCATGAAGTTGTTATAAGAATTAGAGAATGAAATGCTATGGGCAAAGCAGCTCTACAGAGCTGTGCACAAAGGCATCAGTCAGTAAGTTATTGTTGGGTTAACTGTTAATTACTGTTGGGTATAACTGGCCAGCCTACCCTGTGGTCATATAGCACCAAGGTCATTTGGGTGGGTGGGATGAGGTGTGAAACAAAAAGTAGGTCCAGAGAGCCACAGTGTCATCCAGCCAGCCCAGGTAAATGCCAGGTATTACTTTTTGGGCAAACTCAGTGATGTTCCACTTACTCATGCAAGTCATGTGTATGGAAGGCTTACTGTATGTTAGGTGCTTGTAAGTTCTGAGAGCTACAGGATGGCATAATTATGCCAGCATGGCTACCTCTCACTGGCACCATCTCCTTGGCCACAGGATTGCTGAACACAGGGCTTAGTTGCAGAGCAGGCTACTCCCCCTTTCACAAATATTCTGTACCCTCCCAATTGTCAGTGCAAGCTTGGCTCTTCATGATATTTAAAAACAAAACAAAACAAAGGAAGACAAAGCAGGACAAACCAGGCAAGTTTATCCTTGAAGCAACGGCAAAGAATTACCATCTTTTTCTTATTTTCTCACTAGCAAGCTTCTTTCTCTCCTTAATCTTTTACTTGGGAGGAATGCACTTTCAGAGGAGTGGTAGGTATCAATGTCATATTCTTAAGTGCTTTTCTCAAGGTCATCAGTTACCTTCTGATGGCCAAATCCATGAGCCACACCTGGGACCGTGACCCCAAGCCTTCAAAGCACTGTGTCCATGGAACTTTCCGTGATCATGGCTACATCCTGTTCTGTGTTGCCCAGCATGGGAGCCACTAAACACATCCAGCTATTGAGCAATTGAAATGTGGCAAGTGAGACTGAGGAACTGAACTTTTAATTTCTTTTATTTTTTTTATTAAAGATTGCAAATATACATGACAAGAAATGAAGATACTAAATAAAAATTTCAAATATACATATATATGACAGCAAAAAAGGATATGAAATAAACAAAAATTTATGTAACACAGACTAATAATCGAAATACATTATTAGTTTGATATGATCTTCAAACATTATGTTCTTTCTCATTTTCTTATCATATATTTTTGAAATACTATAATTACAAATAAAACAAAGTTACATATTATAGTTGAGAAACTGTCCTCAAAATTTTATGATTTATAAACTCCTTGGTCTTATTAATTGATAAATATCATATGCTTGTTGATTGTACCACTTACATTTTCTAACAAAACTTCCCACAGAAAACAAATGTACTTAATTAATTTAAATTTAAATAGTCACACATGTGTCTAGTGGTTACTTCATAAGGCAGCGTGGCTCTAAAGCATCCAGCTCTGTCTGGAAATCCCATGCTCCCAGCTCTGATGACACAACATTCTTCTGGTTCTGTTAGCTCCTCTCTGTCTCCTCTGCCCACTGAAAATAGCCTCCCTGCAAGCGTCGTTGCTCAGCTCTTCTCTCTTCTTTTCCTACAGTCTTTCTTTCCAGGACAAGCAGCCCCTGGGCTCTAATAATGAGCTGTGGGGAAATGATACCCAGCACTCGCTCTAGCCCTCACTCCTCTGTCTGGCTTCAGACCCCTGTCTCCCACCTCCGCCTGGTGGTGCGGCTTGAGCATCCTGCAGGCACCTTGGATTTGCTATGACCCCGACTGAAGCCATTATTTCATTATATTTGCACAGTCTGTCCCTCCTCCACCCAACTGCTGTTTCTTCCAGTGATCACAGTTTTCTTGTTCTCGCTGGTGTCATCTGTGACGCATTTCCTTCTCTGTTGTCCCTTCCCTAACTGTTGCAGTCTTGGGATTCCTCTTGCATAATCCTCTCCTTTCATTCTCAAGGTCTGTTGCTCTTTTTGTGATTATAAAAGTAATAAATATTTATGATTGAAAATTCACTACATTCAGAAAAATGAAAAAAGAAAAAAACCACCCCAAACACAAGAAAGAAGAGAGAAAAAGAAGACTTGCTTGTAAGTCTAACCGCACAGATAGTCTTTTCTCTCTCTCTCTCTCTTTTTTTTTGGTTTGGTGTGTGACTTCCTACCTGTGACCTCTCACAACCTTGAGTCTGGATTATGTGGCTGTGAATGCTCAGTGTCTCTGCACTCTAATCCACTGCTATTTCCCAAGCCACGATTCTCATCATGTCGCTCTTCCGTTCTGCTCATAAATCTCCAGAGGCACCCAGTTGTCTACTGAATTAAATTTGTCTCCACCGACCGGGTGTCATGCCAAGCCGACCTTTGCTCTCCTAGCGTTCGACAGCACTGGTATGGGAGATGTTCCTGACACATCGCATTAAGAAGTGACTGTGAAGGTCGGAAGTCATGCTTGCGAACAGATACCTATTTAGCATGGGTTAAAATTATTACACACTATTGTTTCCACTCAGTGGAAAAACAAACTCCAAAAATAGTTGCCTGTTAGACTGTTGTACGACACATTTATTGGATTCAATTTCACATCTTTTTAGAAAAATGTTTTCCTCCTTTTGTTAACAGATAATTGTTTCCAGTTAAATGTGTATTTTATAATTGCACAGCATAAAGCCTTATGGGGTTAAGTATTTCCTGTCTTATGCTCCCAGAGAGAATTCTTACCCAGGGCTGAGAAAGTGACGTTCTTAGCTGAAGAAATACCACTTCTGTTGAATATTGAGACCCTGCATCAATGAAAAATGAACCTGTAACTGTTTCTGAAGGTCTATAGAAGATGGATTCTTTCTTGGGATGAAAATATTCTGTGTAGTCTTAGAATTTGGGGTCTTCCTGGCCAGATGAATTCAGCTTCTTGGCAAATGCTACCCTCTCTGTGCATTGGGAACTGAGCACCCTGTTGATTTCCCCAGCTCCCCCTGCATAAGCACAACTCTGCTCAGACACGGTCCTCCTCAGGGTTTGGGAGAACTTGCAGGAAAGGAAGAGTACTTCATCAAGTTTGGTGTGGTGGCTTGAAATTTAATTTTGTGTTCATTGAGTATGGGTCTAGTCCTTAATGAATTCTGTCCTCAGCTCTGTCTTATTTATCTTTTAATAGTTCCCTGGCGTGTAATAAGCAATTAATAAAAGGTTGCTATTATTAGGATTTTGATTATACAGATGCCCCCTCAAACATATTCTTTGGCTGTACTTTTCTCATGCTCTAGACTGAGGCTCCCAGCTGCCTGCTGGATAGCATACACATTTGCACCTTTGCCCATGCTATGGGCTCTGCCAGGCATGCCTTTTTACCTTTCTCACCTCCTGTTAAAATTCTGTCCACACATTTAGGACCGGGGTAATGCCTTCTCACATGAAACCTTCTGCCTAGTTGGAGCTCACTGCCTCTTCCTTCGTACTCTGCATTTTTTTCTGCTCCCCCACCCATAGTAAGCTGTTCATTCAGTAATAGCTTCAATTATTCACACCTGAGTTGAAATTTCTCTCTTGAGTTTGGTGAGGATTGCTCAAGACATATATGATGCTCACCATGGCTATCATCGAACCTTACATGTAACATGCACATAGTTTAGACATCTTTGTGTGATTCCCGCTGTGGTAGAAATCCAGAGGTCTTTATTGAACTTCTGAAAGTGTGGAGCAAGTACCACAGACCTGGCCACACGCCGCAAGGACATCCTTGCTGCAGAGCTGTTGGGCTGCAGGCATCGGCTGTGGCTGGGAGCTCAAGGGGGAAGGGTGCCTGTGTGTGTTTAGCAAGTTGCATTTCTTGATGCATTTTCAGATACCTCCAGAACTCGTGATGAAATTCACAGAAGAACCCACAAATAATTATTGGTAAAAGAGAACCACTTTGCCTTTTGGGGCCCTGCAGGACATATTTTCTTTTCTCAAAAAATAAAACAAAGAGAAGAACAATTATTCTTCTCCATGTGAAAAGCTGTTACTTTTGTGACAGAGCTATGAAACTGCAGGCTACCCTGTGTCTCTCAGTGCCTCAGTTTCCTCATGTGTAAAGCAGAAAAGACAATAGTATCCCTCTTGTAGCATCTCATGATAATTAAATGAATTTACATATGACATGCTCAAAAATAGAGCTTTTATCACGACTATATACTCAATATAGTTATTTATTACTATTGATAGCATTAATGAAAACTGTCCAAAAATAATTCTGGTGATGTTGCCAGGATCAGACACAAATCCTCAAGTTCACCTAAGCTACTGTTCACCCTTAGAGAGTTGCATCAAATATGAATTACATCAAACATTTGTCTTTAAACTGTGCCAACTTTATAGCATTTGGGCCCCTCCATTGTTGTGTCTTGCTGTAACCTGCTCCCCACACCTACATAACAGCAAATTGGTTCACCTCCACAGTTGATGTCTGTGTCAAAAAATAAGTATGAATGGAAAGGAAGAAAGACTTACTTCTAATCCTGCAGTCCTGCTATTCTGGAAGGGGGGCTGAAAATTGCAGTTACATGGTAATTATAAGGAGATTACATCAATAGAGTTTTTCTTTCTCTCTCACATTTCAAAAGGACACATCTCCAAGGAATCGTTTCCTTTAAAGAGCTTGATATTGTCACATAATATTCAACTGCAAAACCATGACAATACCTCTTGCCCTGGCTCAGAAGTTACACGTAGGGACACATCACAGCTCAAAAGAGAGAATGGCCTCTTTATGGTGACTGGCTTGGAATTATAAATATTTTTATTTCTCCCGTAGGAGATGGCTCGTGGAAGAGAGGAGACAAACATGACTTTGAAGCTAAGCAAGCATACTCATCCCTCCAAACAGTCACTCTACTGAGGACCGTGAAACCTGAGTTTGAGAAGTTTTCCATGGAGGTGAAAAGTTCTGTTGAGAAACAAGGGCTCAATGAGGAGGATTACGTAAGTGCTTGATTATGAACCTGGCCCTTCGGCATCCTGAAAACAGTCTTCTAATTAAATCAGAGGCGACAAAGTGTCCCATTCTGAACCATTCAAAAATTCCGAATTCAGTTCTGAATGTCAGTGTTGCCTTCTGTGTGTTTTTTCTTCTGGCTAGCTTCCCTCCCGCCCTGCCCCACCACACCGCCATCATTCCTGCCCTTTGCTTACGGTTTTTAAACTGCTGCAGGTATGAAAATCGCCTTTTTGGGGGACTGTACTGCTGAGCAGAATGTCTGTAGACATTCCATTAATGTCTGTGGACCTCCTTTTAGGAGGGGTCTGGGGAGAAGGGGTTAAAGGAGTGCCCAAGTTTTGCACGCCTCATTTCTCCAAAGCTTGGTGGCAGAAGATATTCTGGGTTTTAGAAGGCTCTTTCTATTGGCAACTTGACCCTGCTTCACAGCTTGGATGCTTATCTGTCTGCGGGCAGTGTTGCTGCCCCTTCTGCTGTAGGCAGCTTCCTAGTTAAGTGTCTCAGGGCTTCCCATTCCTGTAGTACTGTTGCTAGAATGCATTTTCTGAGTGGACTAGAGTCAAAAGTTTATTCTGGGCCAAGGATTAAACACGGGACTTAACTAAAACATGGTACTGATGGCAGATGACTGTATTTCTCTAGTTGCTGTTGTTTAGGCTGCCACTGGTACACTATGATGGCAAATTCTTCTCACAAGGCAGGGGTCCACTTGGGCTCATTGAGTAGGTGTGCTGGTTTTCAAAGCTGCTCACTCTCTATTGTTCTCCGTGGGGGGGGCGCTTAAAGATAGGGAAATGGTGGGAATTGTCCCCGCCCAGCTTTACAAGGAGTGGTCATTTCAAGCAGGACCACTCTTAAAGTCTTTATTGAACACCACAGTGAGCTGGGTTCCCCCTTTACAGACCTGCACTCAGAGACTGTGTCTAGCACTTTTGATCTGTTTGATTTTGCATACATTACTCAGTCTTCCTGATTTAAGTGACTCCTCTCTGTTGGGAAGATCACAGATAATTTACTTGATGGCATTTCACATTACTCATGTTGAAAAATTGGAACTGAATAAATGGTACCTCTTGTATGATTATTGCAAGATTATACTTGTCTTTATAGACATTTTCTATCAAACAACATATAAAGGGTCTTATAAACATATTGATTAACATTTAAAATGCTATATATATATATATATATATATGTATACACACACACACACACACATTCCACTTAAAATGCCTTTTGACTTTCTCAGTACTGTCCAGTAGGTGTGAGCTGCAAAGCTGAATGACATATGTAATTTAAAATTTTATAGTAAACATGTAAAAAAGGTGAAAAGAAAAAAGAAACAGGTAAAACTGATTTTAATAATGTATTTTGTTTAAAGTAAATTCATCACTTTAACATTTAATCAACATAAAAATTATTAATTAGACTTAATATTCCTTTTATTTTATAAAGTCTGTGAAATCCAGGCTGTATTTGACACTCACACCAAAGTACTAAGTAGGTACATCAGACTTGTTGCGATGGCACTGGACAGTGTGTTCTGAATTATGAAAGAAGTAGGATTTCTTCAGCAGAGCCCAGATTTAAGGGAACCTGTGATAACATCGCCACCATCTCCACCCTTTGCCACCGGAGTATGAAGAGCACAGAGGGTAGTGAGCTTCCTCCAGTAATACTGCCAAATGCAGTCTATGCCAATGCTGAAAATACTAAGATCTGCTACATGTGCCTCTGAATGTTAGGTCCACACTAAATTTATGATTTAAAAACTCAACAGTGCTGTCATTTTGTCTGATTTTTCTCCTTGAGGTTGTTAAAGTTCAATGATTTCATCACACATTGTCCAACATAATGATATTCATTGGGCAAAATGAATCCCTGCATACTTCCAGATCATTCTCAGTTTCCAGTTACTGTGCTCACAATATTAAATCTTATTTTACTGTTGGCCTAAGCAAAAACAAACCTCATTGAGGAGGCATACCAACCCAATACCTATAACACATTCCAAACCAAATAGTACGTATAGTTCAGAGATTATTTGCAGCTGTGGATTATAATACTGCTTCTCCCTGCTGGTAAGACCATAAAACTGAACTATCAGTTGACCAGTCGATCACTTTGAAATAGAAATTTGGGCTCATTATAAACACTTGTTCCAGAAAGTTGTGTCTATTTTTCAAATTTATAGGTGTCTATTTGAACTTTTTGTGTACCAATTGCAGATCTTATCAGGTGAGTTTGGACAGGTGGTCATGGTAAGTTGTAGAGAGAGGGATGGGAGTCAGAATCAGGAATCAAGGCCCACACGGATGCTAGGTCTTGACCTCGTGCAGCAGGAGATGTGTCACAAGAGTCTGTGGGCTTTATTTGAGGCTCAGTTCTTTTCCTGGTCTTTTTGTACCCTTGGCTTGTCTCGTCTGCTGCCAAGTATTTCAGTTCACAGTGTCCATCAGAGCCCTCCCATGTTTTCCCTGTGTCACACATGCAGTAACTTCGCTGGACTCTTATTAGTTCTAAAATATACATTGCATTTTCTAAACAATTTTATTACATGTGCATAGTAACTATTTCATTTCCTTTTAATTCTTTTACTTTTAAATATGCTTACTTAGAAATGTACATGATTAAATATAATTGTTAAAATATGCAATTAAGATTAAGCATAAAAACTTAAATTAAAAATTTTAATGGCACTGGCTAGGATCACAATATGGTATTGAGTTTAAGCAGTGATAGTGGACATCTTAATTTTAAAACAAAGAACATATAACAGATTTCATATCTGTCTATACCACTGCTAAAGCATGATGTTACTTATGGGGTTTTTGAGAGAGTTTATTACATGGTAGAAATTCCTTTTTATTTTTTGTTGATGAAATTTTTTTCCAGAATGACAATTTTTATCAGGATAAATGCAACAAAAATAGTACAAGTACTAAGGATTGTATAATGTAGAATAACAAAAGGCTTTGGACATAGCTTTTTGTTTTCGGCATTATAAATTGTATGATAGCTCTTATTCTATTTCAGCTATGTTAGTATATAGTCATATTAGTATGTTATCAGCATCCCTGGGAAGATTATCAGGTTCTTTTTTTTTTTTTTTTTTTTTTTTTTTTTGGTACTGGGGATCAAACTCTGGTCCTTGTACTTGTAAGGCAGGCAGTGGAACCACTGAGCTAAATCCCTGGCCCTATCAGGTTCTTGAAATGCAAACATTTGAAATTTAAAAATGTTTATGGGCCGTGTTACAGTATTAGAAGGATGGAGTGGCAGTGTTTTTTAGTAGAATTAATATTGTACAATTTCCTTACTGAATTTTGATGGATTAATGCAATTTTGCTTCTGTGAAATTCATCTCTTCTCACCATCCCTTAACCTCTCCCTCTTTTTAAAATTGTTTAATTGGAATCATTGAAGACTTTATGCAGTTTTAAGATACAATGCAGAGATATCCCTGTGTACATTGCCTGATTTTGCCAGTGGTAACATTTTGAAAAATTATGTATAAGATTACAACCAGGATATTGATCTTGATGCAAGCACTGAACACACTCATGTCCAGGTTTCTCTCTCTCTCTCTCTCTCTCTCTCTCTCTCTCTCTCTCTCCCCCACCTCTTTCTCTCTGTGAGTTCTATGCAGTTTTATCCCCTGTGAAGATGCTTAGATGTTTGAATTTTACCAAGTGTGTTTTAAAAAACATCTATTGCAGTAATCAGTCTCTTTATTCTGTAATAATTTTATGACATGGTTACTTGTATTACTAGATTTTTCTAATTTTAATCACCTCTGCATTTTTAGTATAACTCCAGTTTCTGTACTGCAAAACTTTGAGCTTCTTTCACAGATCATGTTTTTGAGAAAATAATTATTATTCAATCTATACCTGCTTGCTTAAGTGGAGCTTTTCAAGTTGGGTTAGCTCAAAAGCTACTTGGCGGGCTATAAATTCTCTTCTGTGGGTCAAATTTGTGCTCCTGCTTTACTAAACTGTGGTTGGATGGTGCCTGTGTGTGGTGTGATAGGAAATAGGATCGCTCAGGTCTAGGCTGTCAGTAGGGTGCGAGCGTTGTATATACCGTTGTTGGCCAGTTTCACTGGTAGAGTGGCCAAGCTGTCTAAGGCTCTGGATTTAGGACATGTACCTTATGACAGTGTCCCCACCATACGCATTTCTTTAGGTAATACAATATCTTAAAATACTTGATCTCTTGCTTGTGAACGAGTGGAAACCTGTTTCATTTCGGTACATCATGCTTTAACAGGGCCCAATGGCCACCACTGGGGTAGTATCATCTGGGGTTAGATGCACAGACTTGGAGTTTCAGAGACCTGGTTCTGCCTTTTACTAAGTGATTCTTGGACATGTCTCTGAAACTGTTTTAGTTCATTGGCTGTGAAATGAAGATAATAATTTTTTAACTGACTAAGTTGCTGAAAGAGAATTGTAAATAAATAATATTTAATACATGCCAGTCACATAGCATTCAATGGGTGGTAGGTAGTATTTCTCTTACTTTCATTCTCTACATCCAGGCCAATAAGTATGATGCTCCTGCTCCTACTATTCCTCCCATTGCTTCTTGACAATTTTTCTTGACAGCCAGCCTATTACACTGCACTCTTCTCCTTTCTAGCAGAATACATCTCTCAGGTAGAATCATACACCTCTGTGTGGGACTTTATATTTAATTTTAATTGCTTCCAAACTCTTTGAGAGCAGGAACCATACTCATTTCTGCTCGCTGTTGTGTTACCTTACTGTGTGCTTGGCACACAGGAGGCAGCCAGAAAAAGTAACTATTATTGTGAGGCCAGCATTCTTAATTGGAAGATCTAAAATATGAAATTCTCTAAAATCCTAAACATTTTGAGCACTGACATGATGCTACACATGGAAAATTTCACACCTGACTTTGTGTGAAGGGTTGCAGTCCAAAATGCAGGTACATTAAAAAAATATGAAATTACCTTGAG